CATTTTCAACCAAAGTTCGACGACATATTTGAATCAGGATTCGAGAATGGGGAGGCTTTAATTTATATTTGGAATGCTATTTCTATATGAAGACTCATTTAATCTAAGCTGACTAGCAGTTGCAACGTATGTGTATAGCAACGTATACACTCATGATCTCATGTGGATACACGACGAAAAGCATCCAGCTAGGTGTGTCCAGTTTTGCACTGAAGACTTGCCACTCTCGGTTCGTGTAAAAAGATGAGAAGCTGATAATGAACTAAAACTAAGGTTAGGTGTTGTCGAGAAGGGTCCGTAAACTGCAAATTTGTAGAATTATGGTTTACTATGATGCTAGTACTACTCTAGTAATAGAGCTAATTTTAAAATTGCAGGTTGGTCATGATGCAACTGCTTAATTTATTAGATTTTTAGTGGAAGTCACACCATTGTCTACACTGACTCGTCCTACCGTAACAATTACCAAAATATGATGGAGAGCACGTTCAGGCTCTGGATAGAACAATATATTTAATATGAGTAAAAGTAAGTTGTACAGAGCGGCCAAGCCTGCGAAGCTGAGCTTTATCATCGGAAAATTCACTAAGTTCCTCTTCTTGCTATCTCCATCGTTGGGTTTCATTTTACCAGTTGTCTCGTGTTCAGCTTTGAGGATTGTGTGGTTATGGCCCGGTGCCACTGCAAATTTTCGGGTCTTCAGGCTTCAACAGTGAATGATGCCGAAGTCTTCTCGATTGTAGTATAAAGCTTTTCAAATTGTTTTTCGATCTGTTACACAAATGTTCGAGGCTTGCTCAACATTATTTCGGAGCTAGTTAAATATATATGATATGCCAAGCCGATGTGGTCGCAATCACGGAAGCGTGGCTGACTCAGTCTGTTGACAGAAGAGAACTTGATTTTGAAAGTTTCACATCCAGAGGCTTGAAAACACCGTTTCACTAACTGCTAGTGATAACATGTCCCATGGAAGTGGGACGCGTGAATAATTCAGTTCACGCTTGAAACAAAAAGGACAAGGGATGCTAACCGATTTTATCTACTGTAGTTCAAACTGTGAGGTAAATGAGATTGTTTCAACTCTTGATCATGAAGTGGTTGATATTTGATATTAGAGGACTTTAATGAACCGCCAAAAAGTTCATTCAAACAAAAACAATTCTTTCGATTTTCATATGGTTGTCAATTACCAGCATGTATCAAACCGAGCCACACCAAATATTTGGAGGCAAATGTCAAATTATCGGGAAGCTTGAAATATTTAGGCCCCAACCCTCTGCAAGTCTAAAAGGTTGTACGAAGAAAAACTTACCAAGGAATCTAAAGACTATCCTAAACGCTTATATTCGTACATAAACCAAACGACTAAGAAAAGAGGAAATATTCCAATATTATGGGGCGACATCAGTACTGCATCATTAAAAGAGGACGATGATGGTAAAGCTCAGGTATTCTCACATCACTTTATGAATGTATATACCGTAGAAATTCCCTTTCCTTCACTTCATATAAACCCGCCACATACACTGGACTGTTGAAGAACTGGGTGTCTCTGGTCTGCTAAATGAGCTTGTTATTGGCAAATCCATAGAACCCGACGAAATGCATCATAGGTTTTTAACGAATGGACAAATTTTGCCGCGAATTCCTTTGGCATGTGTTCTAATCTGTTCGAAATCCGAGGTAGATTACTAAAAGATTAAAAAACACTGCTTCAAGTCTTATCTTCAAAGCAAATATCACACATAAACCTGATATTCACCGACGTGGTTGTGAAAATTTTGAAAAAGATTATATAGAATTTGTTTAGGCATCCAAAAGAGAACCGGATTCTTTCTGAGAAGCTACACGGTTTTAGACAGGTTATTCATCTGTCACAAACTTGTCAATAGTCCGTGAACGTTGATGTGCTCTTAAATGTCTAAAGTTATCTATAGAAGTAGCCTACAATGTCCTCAACAGAGCTCTGACAAGGATCCTCACAACCAGATGTTATACAAGTCAAGCGATTTCGGAATAGGAGCCAAGGTATTAATGTGGATAAATGATTTTTTAACTTCAAGTTGTTTAACTGGAAAACCGCATTTGGCGGAGCTGCAGTGCCGTTTCCTCTGTAAGTAAATCACCTTCCTAGTCTCTCATCATCATCGGTTTCTTTGCATGCTGACGATATCAAGGTACAGAGAGTGATGAAATGTGGGGCTGATGGTTTAGAGCTTCGAAATGACTTGCAGAAATTATTTGACTGGTTTAGAATTTAGCAGTTGCTTCCAAGTGCATTATGATACATATTGGTCATCAATATACAGGTTCATACACGGTGAATGACGACGTTCCACCAGTTGTCTAGACACGCAATGATTAAGGAGTTATCCTATGCCAACACTTAAAAACTTCTTCACATTTATTTGCGGTGGCCGCCCAATATATTTTAACCTTGTGATCGATAAATAGGATCTCTAGCCATGTTAAGGATGTAGCGTTTTTGACTTTGTATGCAGTATTCAAAGGACCGTACTTAAGCTGATTACAGAAATGGAGATTCCGACATATGGTGCTCGACTAACCAGACTAAAACTATTTCCATTGTCGTAACAAAGAACCAGACGTGACATGATCACGGTTTCTGATTTTGCATGTGAAATGCTCTGAAATTTCTTCCGTTTGAAAACAGTGAACTTATGAGGACGCTACAAAGTTTCACAAGCCCAGCACAGGTTACTTTCATCAAATCATCAACGAATGTAATTCGTTATATTCTGTCTTTTCTAAACCTAAAGTAGAACTTCATCATGTATTGTCTGTTGTTTCTCCACATCCTTCGTTTTTCATCTAATGCCAACCATTCAGTAAGTGCGCACGAACATCAGTTAGGATGTTACAGATTATCTTGATAGAATAGCATAACTAGCCCATGAACAAAAACATAGGTGAGGGAGTATCAAGCATATCACTGAAGGTTGCATCGCCTCTACTGATAAAGGGTCTGTGACAAGCGAAAAATTACTTAGACGGGTGTGAATAAACTTTGAAGATTAAATTATTCTGAAGCCATGTGGACCGATGAACTAGACCCCACCATAGAAACATTCAGCAGCGTATAAACGTGCAATATAATTTGCAATTAACTCTTCTAACTAACACATGCCATTGATAAGAACGTTAGTTATCACTGCTACCCTTAAATCTTACCGTTTCCAGACGTTCTTCAAGTGAATATAAGCTTGTGATGTGTGCCGGGGGTATGAAATGCAATCAAGTTATATTAGTAGGTTGTTCGCAATTAACTAGATTATTAGACGGTTGACGTTAAATTAGACACTACTAAATTTCGGGGACATAAAAGGTGTATTCGCTCACTCAGTTATTCGCGTTGAAAACGACCTTATGTCTCTTGATAAATAATGTCTGATGATTTTTACATGTTCTCTAGATATATGATTTGTAGTCAAAAATAGTTACAGGAAGTTAAATGCAGTGCGGAAATTCGGCATTGGTGTTCGTTTTGTTCGCCATAGCAGCCTTTGTCACTCGAGGACATCTGATCAGACGGCGGGGCTATATATCGTCATAGATCAAATAAATAGCATGAGCTCTTCAATATTATTACCCTAAGAGTACTTCTCTCTTTTTATTTCTGTTCATTTATTTTCTTGTCCTGAAACTTTATCGTCTTCCATCTGATTATACTATAAATATCGTGATCATGACGTTTTGGTACTGATGTCGTCCTATTTGTCTTTTATATATTGTCTTAAATTCTGCGATCATCGGAAATATGGAAAAGAGTAACAAATGACTGTTGGTTGCAGTTTTCATTCACCCATGTTGTGAACTAAGTGAGCAAAAAACTAATGCAGCACACAAATTCACCAAATACGTTGAACCATTATCAAGTAAACCAAATGATGGCAAAAAACGGAGAGCAATAGGAGTATCAGGAACGAGCATTAAGTAGAACAAAGCGGTACCCCTTCGTTTATGTCAACATGAGCATCGCAGGCGCTAAGGTACCTAAACACGGCTTCTTGCATATAGATATACATGTTAAAATATGGACGTGATTTCGAATGGGCAAATGTTAAACTATGGACAGAGAAAACAAGAAAATAGCTGGGGATTCTTAAAGGTATGAAAATCCGGAAACTCGTCAATCCAGATATGTGGAATATTGACTCAATATATTAAGCGATAGGGAGGCGTAACAACTCCAAATTTGAATCTCCTCGGCAAATTTAGAGCTATTCCCACTGTAATAAACCCAACGTTGTTTTAATTTTCTTTCCCCTCATACAGCGTTACGTTAATGTGCACTAAAAGTGCAGTAAGTAATTATTTTCTTTAACTTCAAGTTAAATGATCAGTGTTCGTGGCAGGGTGTGTAAACCACTACCTTAGATGTGAATTTTTGAGTTTTGACTTACGATGGAGTAAAGACACGAAGATACGGTAAATTTACGTTCACTGAAGCAAACCTTCAATTATCTTTCCTGTTGTGACTAAACATTAAACGGTTTGTCGAAAACAAGTCGTGTGGTTTCCATGTAGTAAAGATGATCGTAAGCGTTTTATATTCATTTTGAAACAAGTGAACAGTTGTGTAAGAGGGTAAAGAACTTCCAAATAGACAGTTGGGATCGTGCCTCCCCAGCTAATGGTAAACTAGAATCGGAGGTATCATACACTAAATTGATCGGAACAATTGAGTTGACGATCTATGAATTTTTAAGATTAAAATTCAGGTTTATACCCAGTGTGGTCATTGAGAGATATACTTTTACGTCATGTAAATCAATTTGTGTGAGTATAGACCACTGCGTGTTCTTACTTAAATTCCCCCACAATGGAGATCACTGATTTTGAAATTTATCTGTCTTATGTTTGGCAATAAGACAAACCTTCCCGAAAAATGTATCAACACCTGTAAGGAAAACCTTTTGTTTTTGTTTTTCTACTGCGTTGGGGTATTTTTACAGTGTTGACTTCACAATTTGAACGTTGACCTTTAGATAACGCTGTGGATAGATTACCGTGTTAGGAACATATGTTCATTTTAATGGTATGTAACGAATACACTATACTTTTTTATGTTCGGAGTATATCACGAAAATAAACATCTGTCATAGGAGTTTATTAGTGTACTGAATAAAAATTTATTTCGTAATAATTTTTCGTTTGATAAATAGTTTTGTTGGTTATGATTGTTTGTTTCTTAAGAATTTCACATTAGTCCGTCGGTTAGACAGCTTTTATTAGCTATAAAGATTGAATCAATCAGCTTATTCTTTGAAATCTGTGGCGTGTGCCAACCAATACAGATCACAGGGTTTCAGTATGACAACATTATTCTCAATGAGTGGGTATCGGCAGCTTGAGTTTTTTCGCGAGTTTTTTAAGCTCTTGCGTGATATCTTTTGAAGTTTCACCTTCGTTGCAGGGTTATAGTAGGAGCGAATTTATGTCTGTTCTGTCGACCTGTTGACAAAAAGCTGTTTTAAACGTTTTTGAAGAGTTGAGTTTTTCTTTTCGTGCCGAACCCTATGGCCTCTGAATAAAACGAAACAGTGACTAATTTGATAATAATAACATAGATTAATTGTACCTTGTGAATTCACTACAGTTACCTACAACGGTCTAATTTAGCTTGTGATTTGCTGAAAAAAATGACAAAATATTCAGTTGTCATAACTTACTTCAAGCTAATAAGGAAGCTATTTCACGTAAAATTGCTATTCTCGAAATACTTTGTAGAAATAATACTAGTTTGTTATTTTATTACCACCCAAAAATACTTGTTTTCGCGGTAAAACGTTTATAAATCCATAACGATAGCTATATGTCCAGTCTTCTGACAGTTGCTATGAATAAGCATAATGTTAACATTGCTTTGGTCCAGCGTTAGAGTTCAGTGATCTATTGACAGTTTATCATTGTTGCCAAAAAGGCACTACGCCTGACGTATTGTATGAACAATCTGCAATATTGCTCATCTGGTTTTGTTGCATCCAATGTTTTTTCAGCTCTCAGCAACCCTTCCGCCTTAGTGCTACCTAGAATCGTTGTATCTGTTGTTGATACATCAAATCTGATATACAAGTCTGAACGTATTTTAACCATATAAATAATAATAATAATAATAAAGTTTTCTAAAGTTTCGGTATCGAAGATATGATTCAAGAAGAAAATAAATATTAGTGAAGTAAAAATTGCTAGAAATTTGCAGAATTACAGTCCACAATAAAACAAGAGTGAGTGAACCTGTGCTATTTACAATCATGGGTTAGAAAGGTTACGGGGATCACAACCAAATACTATTCATGGGCTGATACTTTGTGATGGTTTGACCACCCCTCGAGTTCTTCCAGCCTAATCCTACATTAGCCACCATCTTGCGTCAATTGAGTAAGTGGATGAACATAAGTCATACACGTCACAGACTTCTCAATTAGTAGATTTTAATCATCTCGTCAATTTACTCGCTATCCTTGTATAGTACTCTGTGTCCAACCTCGAAATTATTAACTCGATGGTAAAAAATATACGAGCAAAGCTTTGGTGACACTCATGATCAAGTGTTTTGTGTTCTTGGAGGATACATTACACAGCCATGATTTAGAGCGGAACAAATTACTGGACGGTAAACTCTTAATTTGATATTCTTCATTCTCGACACTGGCAAGTTATGTATAATCCGGAAAGTAATGTGAGATAGACAATTTTTATTAGTTGCTTCACTTTTACGATTTCATTTGACATTGAACTTTTCGTAGGGGGAACACTACTACTAATAAATCAAGGATGACCTCAGATTACTTTTCGATCAACTTCAAAGTAAATATAGTATTTGAAATCAGTGTTTACAGTTCTAGATTTTGCCACAATTATAAGAGTAGTTCAGATGGGTAAATAAAAAAACTTTTACTGACTTATTAAACAAAGCTGAAATCTTAATTAAGTTTATAAAATAGGCCAGCTTTCCTATACCAAGAGGAGAATCAACAGATGGCTGGTATTATGGCCAAAACCAATCCTAGGAAGTCAATGTTAATTTTTGTACTCGTATAACATATAAAGACCAATTAGGTAAACTGTGAGCTGACTAAAATGGTTTCGTATGGTGTGAAACGTGTAAAAGACTTAATCACATATAAAATAGTCATTACTAAAGACAGCATACGTGAGAAAGGCCTTGAAGAATTGCACTATAAAGGACTGTAATTGTTTCAGGGCGAAACTGATACAGACAGGTTTGAAAGGACAAATAGTCTAGATCTATGTCCTGAAATACTGGTAGGTTTTTCTGTGCGAAACAACCAGTCAATAATTATGATGGATCAGCAAATGTCAGTCAAACCACAAGGGTAGATGTTTGTATCAGATTATTTTGGTGGAAGCATTTATTCACTTCAACAGTTTTATTTCTAGATATAGACGTCTTTGAAGATTTTCTGTCTCTATTTTACTTTTCGAGGTCAATATTCTTCCAGCACTTAAATGTGCTACAAAATATCTCTTTTCTGCAAAACACGGTCAAAACGTTACAAGCTTGAAATTTATCTGCTTTTTTTTGAGTTGTGAAGCAGAATAGTCTACTTTATCGAAAATTCATTCACTACATTATCATTTGTACCCAAAGTGATCTAGTGCGAAATGTGTACTCAAAGTTCAAAAAACAATTTTCTTTATAGTTTAAAAGCTGCCATTTGTTTACTGAACATACAGTACAAACTAGATAGGGAGCTGAGATATACCTGAAAGTGTAAAATAAATCCATAGGGCTAATTTATGAATTTTTAAATTTAGCCATATGTAGATTTAGTAGATTTTGTTTGTTAAAATATTAATCAATGACGGACATTAACTAAAACCGCATCATTATATTCTGTGATTTTATTCTTATAAAAAAATTAAAAATCTCTTTATACGTTAGTGCATATTGCATATGTAGTAATCAGGCTGTCACATATGGTAATGCGTACGTTCTAGCTATATCACACAAGAAATCACAAAGCAGATATAACTCGTGAATTAATGCTATAAATATGACTGCTCCATCTGTAATCTACATGAAAACGTTCATTAGTGTACGTTCTCAGTTTTTTATTCTTATAAAAGTGAGACTGCTTAAATGAGAGAATAACCTAAATATCTTTTGAATTTTTGTTATGCCTATATATTTTGTCCTATGTTGTGTACTATATTTTTCGTCAATATTCCATGTCGTTTCGTTTACTGAGCATGTCACAGAGATAGAAATATTCATGTTTTTAATTAATAGTACAGATTCTTGCTCAAAAGTCTACAAAAGCTAACTTAATGTTACGATTTTTACCCAAACTCCAGTAGCTTTAATACTAGTCAAAATAATGAGGGAAGTTCTGTTACTAGTAATTTTATAGATAAATTCGATTATCCTCATTGTCTCACTTATTCGCATGTAGTTGTGGTTATTAAGGCTTTTTCACTTCGCATTAGTATTCAACTGTGCGTAAACGTGAAGCGACACATCAGACCTAAAAGCCAATAAAGATAAATACTTTTCCTACTTTCCAATCATAAACTGAAGATCTAAACTTTAGGATTCATTCTATGTAAAAAGACCGTCAAAAGTACAATAATATCACTTGTGGTCTAATAAGTGTAGCTTCTCTTGGGTTTGGTTTACTGAAGTCATCGCATAATGTAAGAAACCTTCACACAATAACTATTCCTCATAGACTTGAAAATGAACCTGTATTCAAATATAAGGCTAAGTTAACTGTCCCATAATCTTACGGCGGATTTATGTGCTTAAACTAGCAGCTAAGTAATTCAGTGACTTCTGTAGTTTTTATGATTTTTTAAATTGAATTTGACACTTTGATCAATATCTTTTTCTATCCAAATTTTAAGACTACCATTCTAGTCTTTCTTAAAACATGTTAGCTATCACTATTCACACAATGAACAAGATTTCAAAGTCTTAAATGGTCACATTTTGAATAATAGATGTGTAGATTTGCATAAAAACGTACGCTTCAGTATTATATACATGACACAATACATATTGATGTGATGCAATCTAAGTTCTTCCATAATATCAATGGAGGTGTTATGGAAATGTTATATTAACAAAAAGGTACTGTTTGGGTCTTATTTTCATCTCAGACTTTAGATGCATGGGTCAATTTTTGTTTGTCTCTCTGCTTTTTACAACCAAAACTTCCTGAGAAGCTACAATTACTGTTTGTTTTCCCGATGAGTCACAAAGATTTGAGAGATAAGCCATGACCTTAAGTTATTTGTTGGTGAAACTGATCAGTTATATTGACTGATGTTTCTGTTACTAGTAAAATAAAACCAATGATCCACATACAGGTTAAGTTACGAAACTATAAACCACGCCTTCAATAGGTGTGGTTTGGTTGCTTAAATCCAAATAATCTGAGCAACTTTTAATTTTGAATCACCTGTCTCTGCTAGTTTGAAAATTTGCTACTTAAAAATAACAAGAGGGAGATTATTTATTTTGTAAACAATTACTTATCATTCTTGTTTGAATCTGTTACGAAAATGCTTATTTGAAGTTTACATTAACATTAGTAGCATGTGTTAGCAAAGAATTTGATTATCTAAATCATTTGGTACTTAATGTTGGTAAATATATTCCTTTCCCTACATCGCATCACAAGATAGTCAAAAAATCTCGATAGCTTGGTACTTTCTGTTTGTTTATTTGTTTACGTTGTGAGTTAAAAGTATGTGGTTTTATTTTGCTAATTAATTTTTGGATGCATGACTTAAAGTGTACAGATTACTTTTAATCTAATTCTTATCAAGTTTTTATTGCGATGATCATAATTTATATGTCATTTATTTAGGCATGTGATTGGTCATTATCCTGAAAAATCAAGAAGTTATTTAAAACACTTAAAAATCATGTTCCACTCAGAGAAATCTGATTAGACGTGACTGATAGACTGTTATTAAACGTTAACACGTAATACCAATGTTTAGTAAGAAAATTGATGTAACTATTTGCTTAGAACGTCACTTGGTTTGGAACATGAACTTTTTCGTGATATTTTTCTAAAATGTCAACATTAATTCAGGTTCGCGAGGAAGAATGACAAGTTTAATGTTTATTCAGTGTTTGAGATTGTAGTGGAATTTTTGACTTATCTATCTGTTTTTATTTAGGAAGGATAATTTTCATTGTTTTGGATGCGCGATAAATTACCAAGTATTTTAAGAGGTTGCTTATGAGATTGAGTGAAATGAATAACTGCATATCTTGCAAGAAAAGTAGTCAATATTATTTACCACCTACATTTTTAATTGCAATTTCATGTAACATTAGGTTGCTTATCTCTCAAAAGAATCTCCGTTTACTGGAAATTTTTTTTTATTATAGGAGGTCATGTTTTACTCGTAATTTCGCGTTTTCTGAAGTGAAATAATTCTAAAGTCACGGGCAAAATAAAGTGCGTTTCAACTACTGCGTCTTGTGTTTGATTCCAGATTTAACGAATTCTTTTCGGATGATGAAATACTAGTAATGTCGCAGACGTCACAGACAAAACTGATTATGCAAACCTATGCTTAGTACATAAAATAATTAGATATTTGTTTAGAAACTAAACACGATTTTTTTATTCCCATTAATGTTTACACTGTATAGTTCAGTGAATTAAAAACTAGAGTTCTCGTTTATCGATGCTGAAAAGTTGGGACAGTAATTTTATTTCAATGATTTATGACACTAATCACAAACTTCTTAACGAACTTGTTTTATTTTAGTCTTTCAAAATATTTGGTTAATTGAGATAAAAGATACCAGAATAATCTAATTGTTCTGAAATAGTTTAACGGTCATAATGATTTAATTGTTCTCCTACTTGCAATCATTCAAACATCCACCAACAAATCTTTACAAGGATCTTTACTTTCATTTATAATTATGATTATTTTCATATAAACATTATAAGATTTAATGCCCCTAAAATATTTTATTGTTTATCAAATCAACATATTTTGAAGTCATGGAGGTTAATTGTTTAAAATTTAAATACCAGGAGTTTACTTCTAGAATATTGTACCTTCTAAACTATAAGTTCTTGTTTAAACTTCGCATTCTGTTTAGTCTCTACAATTCAGTGATCTGTATAAACTTGAGAAAAGTAGTCTCTGTTAGTGTCATTTTTAATAATAAAGGGCTGATTTAGTAGTTTTAAGACTAGAATCTAGAAATTAGGTTAGCTTTCCGGTTACTTCGTTCAAGATAGTATTAAATAGGATGACAAATTTAAATTATAGTATACTCACACAGCTGTTTATTTGAATATGTTGCTATATATTTTCTGTAGTTAATGATAAAACTTCACCTTCTGTTATTAATTTATAATCGATATTAAACGTTTTATTTTAGATAATTTTAAATCAAACTATTTTATGAAGATTTTTGTTTTACTGCTGAAAATATTGTATGATCGGGAACGTTTTATACTTAGCTAGTAACAGCTGCAGTTAATGCACGTTACCACTGGCCTCAATACCACAGTTGACCATGTATAATGTGAACATGTCAACATTTTCTCCATATAACCGTCATATAATTTAGAAATAACTACCAATGGATCCCGTCCACTTTTTCAATGAATTCCATCGATTAAATCTAACAACAGGACTACCAAATTATGGTTATATATATTATGCTGATCTTTACTCTTCGAATTCATTCATCTTGGAGATTTTAATCAGCTTACTATGTATTGGTGGTATCACATCAAATTGTCTTTTGTTTATCTTTCATATATGTGCTATACTGTATGGTAAAAAACATTTGTATCAAGTGCCTTATCCAATATATCTACAGAAAGTGTATAAATATCCATTGTATCACCGATGTATGCGTCGGTTGTATCTAATACTTTGTAAATGGCCATTATCATATGTTGTTTCACTTATTACCTTGTGTTTACAATGTATATTTTGTTATAAATGCAAAAGTAAGGTTAACAAGCTAACGACAACAAAGCATAATAATGCTACAATTACATCAACAACAAATGCTGACGTTAATACTATAACTACCTCTCAGAGTACACTTATTCCACTGTCGACAGATAATGACAGTGGTAATACATACAATAATAATAACGTAATGATTGATATGAAGTTTGAAGTACACTGGCCCGGTGTTTCGATTCTTAAACCTTTATCTGGTAGAGATCCCAATTTAGAAAATAATTTGTTATCATTTTTTCAAATGGATTATCCTATATTTGAATTGCTGTTTTGTATAGCTGATAAAGAAGATCCAGCTTACGAGCTTGCTGAACGTTTAATTAAACAATATCCACATGTTGATGCACAAATTATCATAGCCAAAGATTTATTTGGTATTAACCCGAAGATCAATAATTTACAAGCTGGTTATGAAGCTTCCAAGTATTCGTTGCTATTAATATCAGATTCAGGTTTATGGATGCGTTCAGATGCATTAATGGATATGGTATCGTCATTAGAAGTGGATCCAAAAGTTGGTCTCATCCATCAAGTGCCTTATATGAAGCCATATAATGGAATTTTATCATCTATACGAGACATAAACATTGCATCTTTTCAAGAACGCTCCAAACATATTAATTGTAATCACGTTCATAAAACAACATTAAGAGCAAGAACATCAATAGATTTAGAATATATTCCAACCATTTGTGAACAACCATCATTTACCTGGATTGTACAGTTAGTTTTTTTTTCATGTTGGCATGCAAAAGTCTATTTGACTGCATCATTTCTTAATGTGAATTGTGTAACTGGCATGTCATGTCTATTACGTAAGTCAACATTAAGTGATTCCGGTGGTTTTAAACAATTTGGCTGTTATCTAGCAGAAGATTATTTCATAACAAAGTATATATCTAATCGAGGTTGGAAAATATCTTTATCTCATCAACCAGCTTGGCAAAACTCACCAGCACCTTGTCTATATCAATTTTATTTACGAATATTACGTTGGTCACAGTTGAGACTAAGTATGGCAATTTTGAGTTTTATATTTGAACCATTCACAAGATGCCTACCAAATGCTTTATTGGGAGCTTTCACATTTGCTTATATTTTTCCAAATTTTATTGATCCAGGTGTATATTTTATGTGTTATACCCTAATATGGTTTTTGTTAGATTATATATTATTACGTCAAATTTATCCACCAGCAACTCCAATATGTATCACAAAATTAGAATATCTTGTAGCTTGGTTATTTTCTGAACTGTTAGCTTTTCCACTGCATTTAACAGCAGCTTGTTTTCGTGAAGTACGTTGGCGTGATAAACGATATCGTATACGATGGGGTGGGATTTCTGAACGAATTGAACAACAAAATGTCATATAATTTTATAATAAATTTTGTTGATATATGCATTGAAAAAGAGTAACAACATTTAATTGTAGATTATTTATTGGTGCATTATATATTTCTGATATTTTGATCACTAAATCTGGTCTTTCTACTTCAAAATGACAATATTATTTTATAGGAATTAAAAAATTAATCTTCAGTATATATATATATAACCATTACTACTGTTGTTCTCTGTTTTCGTTTGTTCGTATTGTTATTTTTCACTGTGGTTATTATCATTATTACTATTATTATTGATATGAGACCTAAAAGAAAGATTGTAAATATAAAAATATATACATATATTATTATGATTGTTGTTGATGGTTCTTAGAAATAGGGTCGTTGGTTCAGTTACTTATCTATTCCATATCGTTTGGTTCTAAATCGATCTCCTTAGAATTATTTCATTTAGCCACTAATTTAACATCACTTAAATTTCGAGAATTTCGATTGCCGGACATTGATTTGATAACTGTATAGTGTCGTACACTTTATGAAATATTTACAGTGCTTCTGGAATTTTAATGATTGTATAGTTAGTATTGGTTCACGATGTAAACTTCCCTAAAAGCAAACGAATATGCTTAAACACCTGATTAAAGACATTTACTCAAGTAAAACTGAGCTTATTTTTTACCATATATGATATATTTAGTTCATATATAGTTTTTGCTGAAGCAGTACTTATTGAAAAACGACTAAGCTCAGTCAAATTTCACTAGATAAGTGAATAAATTAAATGTATGGTGCAGTTCATTAATGTGACTGGGAGATTTATTGTAATTGTAGATTGGAATTGGAAAAAGTCATTTATTGAGTTAATTTACGCTTGCAGGATAATTATAGATATATTATATTGTACTTGCCAGTAGATGACATTGAATCAACCATGATGTATCACAAATTGTTAAACGAAACGTCAAGGTAAAATAGTGGAGCGTTATTCAAAATATTACGAATAGGTTCTCCGTTTATCGTTTTCAATGCTTTTTCTCTTTGTTAAGAAATCAACTCATAAACCTTGTTACTATCTTTTCAATCGGTTTGAAATTCAAGTGTGTTTGGCCACTTAACATTCTCTGCTAATTAATTAGTTCATTGTGTCAGTACTTCGTTTGATAAAGCTGTCATTTTTATAAGCATCGACATTTGATCTCTATGTTATATTTTCGTGTCAAATCACTATATTTTGGACTTGAAATCCAAAATATTGGCATTTAAAAAACTATTTGATTAGATCAACATTATCCGTAAAAATATTGGCAAAGTTATGTTTACCGAGCATAAACCTCTTTTTTACGTCACTTTAAGTAGAAGCGATGATAAGATAATTGAAGAACGCCGTTTACAAGAAAAAAAAAGAATCAAACATGATGAACTACGAAAATTCAACAATCTTCATAACCTCTCATTCTACGATGAATAAAGTATGAAATCACTTTGAAATGTCTTTAGACGAGTAAGTATTTCATTACTAATCATGTTAATGTTAGTGTGCAATAATGATTTTGATAGTGACATTAATATTTTCTTTCTTGAGTTTAATAATAACCAGAACTTTCGTATCTATGTTGTATCATTGTACCGTATAATTAAGAGAAATAATTATTAATATATTCTTCGAATACAGTTCTGATAAGAATCAAACGTATAGTAAAAATGGATTGAGTTTTAATGAGTCGTTATTAGGTTAACTATCAGTTACCTTCATAGCTCATTCATAATAATAATTTATCTATTGACAGTTAATGCCTTTATGGGCTAATCAATCTTTGTATTTCACTGGATTATATGAAGTAAGTGGAATCATTTGTTTTTGATCTCAAACAATTGCAACACAATTTATATTGCGGTGAAATTTCATTTTTAATTTAAAAACTAATAAAAACAGTTGCTTCACATGTTTCATTGACAGTAATATTATGAATAAATGTCTAGTGGCCTTATATCTGACTCCAGTTAGATCGGACAAATTATCGTTATTAAATGAATGCTGTCGACGTATACATCCTGGTTACTCTCGTATATAATCATTAACTTAAATTGCGTTGGTGAATAACGCAATTAAATAAGTCAAATACGAGAATGGATTTCAAATACGTATATTTTGTGCGATAGTTGATCGGAGAGCGAAGCAAAATAAAATGACGGGCGATGGAGGTGAGTGAGTCAACTCAATTAAGCCAAGGGTGAATCAATATTTATAGCCGAAAAAAATAAGTTACATACATGATGAGTCAGATAAAAAATGCACACACATACGCTTACATAAAAACAGTCAAGGTTGATAGGCGAATAAGTGACAGGATAAATATATGGCTCGAGAAGAATGAATGGATTGACCTGTTCAAGGGCTAGAATAAGCTATGTGGGCAGACATATTACCAACTCCTACAAACGCATCGGATCATTACATGAGTTTTTAGGAGCCTCTTCGACATAAAACTTGTAATCTTATATCATAAAGTGTCAACTGCATTTGAAAATTATTCGTCGTGATCAGTTAGCATTATGGTATCCTATTCTTAGTGAAGGTAAGCCTCCTCTTCTGATTACTTTGTAAAACACAAACCTATAATTTACATTAGTTATAGCTAATAATCAAAGTAACTCAGTGTGTCGCTGAATAAAAATAAAGAATATTCAACATAGAAAATTTTATTTTCGATAAAAGGATTTACCTAAATTGCACATTTGTATTTGCATTTTTTTTAGTAAATATATGTTTATAAAACGACAGAACTATAAAGTAATTCAAGATTTCAAATATCAAATGAGATTGCGTAATAATCAAGGGGTTAGAGAAGAATAGGAGGATGGAAATAACTTACAGGTCAGAATTATGAAACATAATTGTCCGCTTGTATTATTATTATTATTTTAACACATAGATATTGGTACAAGGAGGCACCAAATACATATGCGCCACACAAATCTCAATTGATATGTGTGAGGGCTGTGATACTGCCCGGGTGCCCAAACCGGACATGAAGAAAAATTCAAAAGGTAAATCTTATTATAACTCAATAATAGTGATGTAAAAGTTGTTAGCGGGTAATGATGACTGATTACGATCTAAAACCACATAACACTAATTAAAAAAACGACAATAACATACTGAAGACGGGAATTAGAGTCAAGGGAGGACGATGGTTTAGACGTGTCGTTTTTGCACGTCGAGTTCGGATATGAATTGATGGATCGCCAAAACCTCGGCAGTGCATAAGTTTCTGATTCGACCTCTCTCCTATCAGGTTTCTTTGACTGTATAGATTGTTTTGAAGGAAGACTCATTTGAAGCAACCTGTTCAGGTTTGATCAGGTTCTCCTGTACTAGACCGGTGGTAGTTTTGTGTTTCCCTTTTAAAGGCCACACGCAGTAATGATTTAAGATGTGTTTGTAAAGTGATCTCTTTGTGCGTCTAACTTAATCTGACTTCTTAATTAAATGTATAAAATTCATCGGATTTATTCGCTGTGTTATCTGAACTAGTTGATTTAATCATTCAGCTTTCATTGTTTTTGTAGACTATATCATCAGCATAAACTTCAGATAAAAGTGGACAATTCGGATTTCCTAGTACATTTCGACCTAAGAAGCTGTTACTCATATGTGAAGGAATTCCAAACAGCTCAATTTCATCTGAAGTTTATGCTGACGATGTAGTCCAGAGAGGCAACGAAAGTTGAATAATTAGACTAGCCAACTCAAAGATTGGTAACCTACTAAAATGTTCCTATTTCTATCTATTTATAATTTATACACCCGGCCTATTCGGTTTCAGTTTAAAAAAGATCCTTATTATTTTTCGCTCAAACACTTATAGCCATAGGAATATATATTATCTACTTCAATAGGTTATTCATAAAGGTTATAGGGACTGATTCAGATGGTCACAGTTCGCATTAAGACAAGGCGATGAAACAGTAATTCAAGTAATTAAAAAACCGGTAGTATATTAGTGGACGCTAATGGCAAGCTTGTTTGTAAGTCGTGTGTAACGGAACGTGACGTCAAAGCCGCTATGATTGCCCAACAGAGTAAAGAGTTCCGAGGCATTGGAAATACGGCGTTGGCAGAATTCTTGAAAATTAGAAGAGTAGACAATTCAGATGGCAGAACACACAAAAGGATGCGAATGAAAGATTGAAGGCTGTGTATAATGTACTAAATAAATATTTTGCAACTTCATACAACATATATCACCTGTCTAAAGTGGTGTTTATCAGTATGACTGATGGCAAAAATAACTATGAATACAGCTCAAAGTACACGAATTAACTAAATGGGTTATGTAGTAAGTAAATTACTTGCTGATGGGAATTCAACCGGAAATTCATGGTAAAAAAATTTATGATTAAATACGATGCAACACTGACGTTTGCATCACTATTTAATGTATCAGTTGGGTTTATCACTTTCATACTCCTCAATAGTTTACGTATAATACATTAAATATTTTTCTTTTATATCTTTCTTTTATATATTACACCATCAAGTTAACTGTTCCTATGACTCCTGTGTTCGTCTTGCTGTGCTAATGAGGTGTGGTAACTTGGACCGATGTATATATGTGCCTAGTCCTACGTTGTAACTGACTGACTGTAATTAAAAAAAGTGTCAGTATTTAAGTCCATTCTCTCTCGATAAAACTATGGATGAGTTTTATCTTGTAAGAAGAAAATCATTTATGTTTTTTATGCTTTTCACAAAGCAGTACGTAAATTTCTTTATTCATTCAATTTCTTTTGTTAAATAATCATAATTTATTTCCTGTTATTTGATTTCATTTTGTTGATGTAAGATAAGAAAATAAATAAAATAACAATGAATTATTGTTTCTATGTTATCATGGTAACTTTATCATTCTGAAATTTATTTACTGACATTATTATGATTATTATTAATATTATGCTCATATGACCCATATTATCCAGTAAGATCTTAATGGATAAAAAAACAAACAAACAAATGATACAACATTTATTAATTTCTATTTATCTAATGTTAAAGAAAAGAAAATGTTCCTTAAAGTTTTATCAGTTTACTTTTAAGTAACTGCCGAGGGTTAAGTAAATTTGTTCTAGACAAGTAAAACAAGTTTATAACAAACGGACTTATCTGTTGAGTTCACATTTCATGAATGGTTTCTGATCATAATTATATTAATGCCCATGTATATTATTAATTATCTATATGTACAGAAAAATATAATAAAGTTGATAGTTACAAATGAGTTTTGTGAAATGAGAGTTTATAACAGTATCAAGTTATAAGTTAGTCACCATCATATATTGAACATTAAGC